CTTAAGTGTTGTTGGGATCTCTTAATTCATCATAGGGGCATGTGAATGTACAATAAGGAATCTCTACTTTCGATAAAAGAAGGAGAATGTTTCAAGATGTGATTTAGTAAATCTTTGGCCAAAGTATTTTGAGCTTGATTTAGAAAGTTGTTCTTAATCATGTTCTTTTGAATCACATGAGGTTATAAATCATATTAGGGGTTTGACATAAACAATACGTACCCTAATAATATGATTTGAAACATTGTATAAGAGAAGGACCATATTGCATTGCAATTCCAACTGAATAGGTTCTTCATCTATTCGTGTTAGCTTGGGTAGCCTTGATATATTGCTAGATGTCACTCTTGGCTTGTGGAAGAAAGTCCAAATGGTTGGGTATCAAGCCCAAGGGCTTAAGACACCTAAATATTATTGTTTAAGTGTCATAAGGCCCAATTTTGGAAGCCCAATGGGTTTTGGCCGAAAATGCTTAAGTGAATGTGTATGGGAATTGTTTCTATAAGCTCATTAACACACAAACACAATCCAACATCAACCAAATAGGTTTGGGAGATCAAAGAGAGAAAAAGGAGAGTTTTCAAGAGTGAAATACTTTCATTTTTCAAAGTGGTTTAGATTGAAACCAATCTTGAGAATCTTGCACTAGCATCCAAGTATTCTCAAGATACTTATTCTCATCTCAAGGTTCCATTGGTGTGGAGACTTAGAGGCCATATACTTTTGTGGCTCACATGGAGGAGAAAGATCAAGGAGCAAAGATCAAAGATCAAAGAGGAGATCAACAAAGAGGAAATCATCAAGAGAAGACCAAACACAAATTGGTTCATATAATTGCTTCAAGGGTAATTAGATCTTATCCTTTCTCTTGAATTTTCATTTATGAAAAACATATCAATGTTCATGGCTTAAGATACTTGGAAGAAGTTTTGTTTTTGAATTTAAACAACCACCTTAGACTTCCGCTGCGATTAATTTGATTAAATGCATGTTTAATATTCAAATGAACTTTGGAAAAATGTTTTGAAATTCCTACAGTATGAAGGTGTTGGCTGAGGTGTTCGATAACTTGAGTTTGGCATAAGAGCCCACGTGGGCTCACCTTGCTATTTTTAAGTTGGGCAAGAGTTTGGAAGCCAAAATGGTCATTAATAGCCCAAATGTTATTCTTAAATTAATGACATATATATATATATATATACCAGAAAGGGCTAGAACCAGGGCTAGAACCACAGAAAGGGCTAGAACCAAGGGGAGAAAACAAGAAACTCAGGAATAGGATGAGGAGGAAAGGCAATAGTCATATAAACTGAATAACAAAATGCAGAAAAATAATGTATGAAATATATTAAAACATATACATATATGGAAATTAGAATGTGATTCATGAAATTAATGCCTAACTTTGAAAATAGTGAGGTTGTAAACTTACAAAAAATATTGACTGAAAGATCCTTTATTGAAAGAACTAGGCACTCATAACTTACAAATTTTTTCTCAATTTTTAGAGTTTGAGAGAACTTTGAAACTGGCTAACTTACAACCTGTTTTACTTCTGGCTCGAAGCCCTTACTTATAGAACTAAATTTCATTGGATTCTGTAGGGGCTTTTACGTTTCGGCAGCTACTGATGGGCCTGGGCTGCTGTAAAGATCCAAATGTGTGAAAATGCCCCTTGAGTCCGAGTTCAAGGATCAAACCCCAAGAGTGTTTCGAAAGGGTAGTTGAGCCTTAGGAAACACCTTGGTCTTCTTCACCAATGAAACCAACAGTCGCTTACAGATAAATTCTTGGCTTGGCATGAGAAGCTTGTGGCATGGGAGTTGAGCATTCATGAGTTTAGCATGAGAGAGAGAAAGAGTTGCGATTTCCTATGAGAAACAAAGGTTCTAAGGAAAGGGGGAAGGGATTCTAAGAAGGTTTGTTGAAGAGAGAGAGATAGGGGGTATAATGGGTGCGTTGAGTAGTTTCTGGCAGCTTGACGAAAACTCTGTCAAGATCTGGAATAGCTTGCAAGAAGAGAAAATTGGAGGAGATGGAGGAATATGGCTTGAAATTGAAGGGTTCCAGGGGTGAGAGATGATGCCTACTCTTTGGGTCTGGTTTGCTTGCCTTCGATTGAGTTCTTTTGCTGGGTAGAAGGTGCCTCCCTTTTATAGGCACTGGAAGCTCCTTCTTCCCAAGAAAACCCTAGTTGGTTATCTCCAATTTTGCCAAGTCTCTCCCTCCCTTTCTCTTCTCTTTCTTTGATTCATCCATATTTTGTGAAATCTTCCTTAGTCCAAGCACTCAAAGACAAGATTTTTGGAGGCTCTAGAGCCTTCCCGCAGCTATTCCAATGGCTTTCTCCTATCTTTGGTTACCATCTCTCCTTCTTTCCTCACCTATTCTTGGCAAGAGCTGGTAGGAGAAAGAGATGGGGAAGATCGTTGGTCTGAAGGGTGATGCACGTGCTAATATCCTTTGGTTCTTCAAGTGGTTTGCCTTGGGTTTCTTTCTTGGTCATGTGCTGAAGTCTCCCAGCAGCCTACATACATAGGTAGCTTTGGCTTTTGTCGAGGCTTTTGTCTCTAGCCATGTGCTGGAGATTGCAGATATTTTCTTCTTGGTTGCTTCGGCTTTCCTAAGGTGATGGGTTAGCCAATTAAGAGAATGGGCTAATCTCCTTAGGTGATGGGCTATTTTATCAAAATGATGGGCTAATTTTCCTAGAGTATTTGGGCTGGTTTTTCTAAAGTATTGGGCTTTTTTCTCTCTTTTATGCTTATCCATATATTTGGGCTCAAGAAATGGACTTGAGTTTTGGGGCTCCCAAGCAGCCCAAAACTTCCATTTCTCGGCTCATCAATGGGCCTCATGAAAACTTGTTACCATCCACACCACAACCCACTTAGCAAGCCCCGGGTATTCGCGTGGCTTGGGCCCACTTAAGTTTGTAGCGTGGCGTGTTGCTTATTTGCTTGGCGTGACACGTGTGCAAGCGCATATGACGAACTCTTGCATACCCAAGTTGGGTTTCTTCCCAAGTTAGGCATTGTACCGGGCTAGAAATATATTTGGGCCAATCCTTGGATTTTTTGGGCCTCAATAGATTCCAAAGATGGAATAATGACTAAAGGAAAATAAATTTTTACTTGTCTGGGAATCTACTTTTACTCTAAGGCTTTTGCTTTTGCTTTTGGCTGCTTTCACTTTTACTTTTCGGAGAATCTGCTTTTACTTTGCCTTTACTCTGGTTAGTCTTCATTCTAATCATATGGGTCTTGACTGTCGGGGTAGTATGCTCTTTTTGACTGGAGGTTAGGCACTGCTTTTGGCTGGAGGATGAGGCATGTGATGATCCGGACTTGGGGGAAGCATCATCATTGTCCATTTGACTGGCTTGAAGCATAAGTTGTCTGGCTAATTCTTTGATTTCTGACTTGGATCTTCCTTCGATTGGGAGGGAAGAATGAGAACTGCCTGGAGTAGGAGACTTTGCAGGAGTCTTAATCGGAGTAAATTCTATATTGACTTGATCAATAATTCTTTCTAACTTAAATTTATCCCACCATTTGATATCAAAACGACGGGACAAATTTAAGTTAGAAAGAATTATTGATCAAGTCAATACATAACAAACTTCTTGATATCAAATTTAAGCTGGGCAAGACCATGGTGATTTACTTTTCCTAATTATTCCTTTTTGAAGTAACTCTAAGATTTCATTTTTACAAAATTCCATTATTTCTTGACTCATCTGAATTGGTCTAGCTTTAGTGGGAATATTCTTTTCACTAAAGGTTTTAACATAGGGAAGACTGACTACGTGGTGTTTCTTATGCCAAAAAGCGGTAGGTAGATCAAAACAAACTTCTTGTTTTAACTTTTCTTCAAATTTTTGTATTTGCGACTGTAAAGACTTTTCACTAAGTTGCTGTTCAATTCTTTTGAATTTAACTTCTTCTTTGAAGAAATTCACCTGTTTACTCTTACTCTGAATAAGACTAACTGTTTTTGAAACTGCGCTCTTTTGAAAGGCTTTTAAAGCATGTAATTCTGGTTTGGTTAAAAATTCAAACTTGACTTTTTCTCCTACATGAGTAGAGGTGACTCCATCATATTCTACCTTGAATGGGTACAACAAAGCTATAAACGGTAATCCTAAAATAACTTCGTCAGTAATATTTTTGACTAAGACAAAAGATATTTTAAAACAAATCTTATTCTAACAAACATGGGCTTTAGGGATTTCATATTTTAACTGGAGTGGTTTACCAGAAGCGGTTCCTAAGGTTTCTCTTGACTTTTTGAAATACTTAGTTGGTATTAGACCTTCTTGAATACAATTGAGATCGGCTCCTGAATCAAAGAGGGCTACAGTTTTTAACTCAAAATCATTAATAAAAATGCTGACTCTTGAGTACCATTTTCAAAAGTTAATTTGTTTAATTAAGTTTATAGCTTTATCTTCATCATTGTTGGTTGGTTCATTTTCAGACTCAGAATGACTTCCAGATTGACTTTTAGAATCAGAATTTATTTTTTCCATTAAACTAACTAAATCTTGTTTAATCTCAAAATTCTCAGTTTGCAATTTATGACTTAATTGTCGTAACTCAATTATTTTGTAGAGTGACTTCCGTTTTATTAAACCTTTCTAGGGTAGTATTTAGACTTATTTTTGGAGACTGGGTGGACTAACTGGGTTCTTCCTGGCTAATAACTTTCCTGAGTTTTCTAAGATACTCATATTTTAACTCTGGGTTTTCAACTTTACTAATTAAATCAATTAATAATTTTTCTTATTCTTCTTGTTTGGTGAGGACAATGATTGACTGCAACTGTCTCCCAGCACTTCTAGCTGTACTACCTCTAGAGCGGTTCCCAAAACTACCACTCTAGTTAGATCCTCCACTGGAACTACCTCCAGGTCGAAATCCGTAACTGCAGCCACTAGATGATCCAGAACTAAAACTCCCTCTCTTGGATGACCCTTGACTGGGACCACCCATCTCAAACTATCGCCTACGGGAATCGCCCCGTCGTCGGACCATCATCTGGCTACTCTCAATCAGGGATGCAGACATGACCAAGTCCTCAAAGTTAGTCAGCCGCTGACCAATCACAATGTCCCTGATGAACGCCTTCAACCCTCGGGTGAACAACTGACACTTCTTTCTTTCATCCTGCACCAGTGGAATGCAATACTTGGATAACTCATGGAACTTCTTTTCATACTCTAGTACAGTCAACACCCCCTGTTCCAACTGCAAGAATTCTTCCATCTTCATGTTCTGGTATGCGAGTGGATAGTACTGGATATCGAATGCTGCTCGAAATACTTGCCAAGTGATGGCGGATGGATCCTGATATCGTCTCCTAATCGACTCCCACCAGTGTCTCGCATTCCTGGCCAAAAAGAAAGTGGCCAAGGTCACTCTGTGATCCTGTGGAACGGCCATCACTCTCATGGTCCACTCCATCCTCTCAATCCACTCCTCGGCTACTGCTGGGTCACCATCACCATCAAAATCGGTGGCCCCAATCCTCGTAGCCTGATCTGCATAACTCAAGGAGGGCTCTCTGGGTTGCTCAGTCCTGGACAGGGCCTGAGTCAGCATCTCTAAAGTGCTGGAAATTAGGGTCCAGATGTGGAAGAACTGCCGCCGGTGCGGCCCCTGTCTGACCTCCCACTTGAGACTGTTCTACTTCTTCTGGTTCAGACTGGGGATCCTGTCCCTGTTGAAGTGAGTCTCCTAATTAATCAAGGAGATTTATTTCCTTGATTAATTAAGGGATTTACTTTCCTATTTTATAGATTTATTTCCTTGATTAATTAAGGGATTTATTTTCCTATTTTATAGATTTATTTCCTTGGTTAATTAAGGGATTTACTTTCCTATTTTATAGATTTATTTCCTTGATTAATTAAGGGATTTATTTTCCTATTTTATAGATTTATTTCCTTGGTTAATTAAGGGATTTACTTTCCTATTTTATAGATTTATTTCCTTGATTAATTAAGGGATTTATTTTCCTATTTTATAGATTTATTTCCTTGGTTAATTAAGGGATTTACTTTCCTATTTTATAGATTTATTTCCTTGATTAATTAAGGGATTTATTTTCCTATTTTATAGATTTATTTCCTTGGTTAATTAAGGGATTTACTTTCCTATTTTATAGATTTATTTCCTTGATTAATTAAGGGATTTATTTTCCTATTTTATAGATTTATTTCCTTGGTTAATTAAGGGATTTACTTTCCTATTTTATATAGTTGTCAAATCATTGTATAATTATGAGATTTTTTCCTAATCCTTTACTAGATCTAATTCCTTGTAAAGCACTCATGTGAACTCTTATATATACCTCCTTATGGAGAAGAATAAATAAGAATCTAACATATTCAAACCCATATTCATATTTTTTAGCATGGTATCAGAGCAATTGATCCTTGGTTGTTGTTGCTTCGATTCAGCTGCACCAAAATGGTTTCAACTGCATCCTCAACTTGTGATACTCGCAAGTGCACGAGCCGTTTGGTAGTATA